CTTAGCTGAGATATTTTGAGCTTTTACTCAGGACCTTGCTATTGATTAGCTCGATCCAAGCTCGCTATGGTTAGCACGGTCTCAACAGGAGAAACCGAGGTACAAGCAATAAAGGGAAGAACCGAGCTAGTTAGAGCTCGGTCATTTTTGCCAGTTTAGCATGGCCATGTTAGCTCGGTCATTTTGTCATACTACCGAGGTAAAACCATCTCACTTGGTTTAAGCAGTGAGGAGGGTGTTGAAGGATAAGCATTATCTTTCAGGAATGTGATTCCTAGAAGGACTCTACATGGAGGAGTAAGAGTCCTACTAGGATTGTGTCACACGGAACCTATAAAAGCTCATAACAGAACCTATGGAAGAGGTAACACAACTTTGATTCTCGAATACACAGAACTTTTTGTCTATTTGTCTATTTTGCTGATTTAGGCATCGGAGAGGTATCCAGCACACACCCGCCAGCTAGCTCACGTTTGTGTTTTCAGAGAGCAGAGCGACGACGTTTGGAGGAGCGCAAACTTGATCAACAGGATTATTCGAGAAGATTATTTCGTGCTCGTACAGTTCTATATTTATACCAATTTTATTTGGAAAAGAAAAAAAAAATCATTTTACACCTTAACTTATTTCTCAAAAATTAATTATAGACCTTTTCCTTTCTAATTGTTTTAATTTTACACTTGAGTAGGAGAAATGTTTGAGGAATTTCATAACATTGGAGATCTCATATGCAAGTCAAATGTCAAAATTTTAAACTATTTATATAATGGATCTTTTACATAATGTTTACCTTGATATAAATTGATAGTTTAAAAGAAATTTATTCATAAATCTCATCTTGAGAAATGGTGATCAGTTTAGTCTTAAAAATTTTCTTATAAATCAATTAGTCATATTGATTTTAGAAAGATGGATCTAATATATTCTTTAGAAATTAAATTTATAGTTATGTCCTTATTTACTTTATGTTTTCGTATTTTTTCTTTTGTGTTAGAAATGTAAAGATATACAACCTATTACTTTGTGAAATTTAATTGAGTGAATCTAGTGGCACAAATGCCTTGCACACCACAAATATATATATATATATTACACTATACAAGTTCACATTGTTTCATATTAAACATGCTATCACACACACACACACACACACAAAAAGAAGAAGAAGAAGAAGAAGAAGAGTAACATTGTGTATGTCCACATTGATTTTGATTAAGCATAAAATCTTCTGATATAAAAATCTTTTTGGGGGTGGAGTGCGGGTAATCAAATTTGAGGTGGGTTTTTTTTTTTTTTTTGGTAAATGACTTGGAATGTGAGATTCTTCAAACATTTCACATTTCAAAAGAAGTATAAAAATCTCTTAATAAGTTTTGGACAAATGTGTCATTTCAAAATGTGGGAATTTGAGTCATTTGTTTTGTGAAATTTAATTGAGTAAATCTAATGACACAAATATGCCTTGCACACCCAAAAAACAAAATGAAAAAAAATAAAAATAAAAAAACAATGTCACACTATACAAGTCCACATTATTTCACATTAAACATACTATCAAAAAAAAATGTAACATTATGTAGGTCCACATTGATTTTCATTGAGTATAAAATCTTCCAATATGGATTTTTTTTTATTTTTTTATTTGGAGTGTGGTGTAAGTATTCAAATTTGGGGTGTTTTTTGATATGATAATTTTTTTGATTTGGAATAACTTGAAATATAAGATTCTTCAAACATATTAAAAGGAGTACAAAAATTCCTTAGTAAGTTTTAGATAAATGTGTAATTTCAATCATTTATGGACAGTGGCGGAGCCAGAAAATTAGGTTGGAGGGGGCACTTATTAATCATAATTTTTTATTTAAAAAAAAAATTCATGAGCAACATTAAGATAATAATCATTTTATGAGACAAATTTAAACATAAAAAATTACATATTCATTATTAATAAGAATAAATCAAAATTTTATAATAGTGTAGAATAGCTCGGTGTGAGATGATGTTTGAAATTTTAGCACACAAAATTATTGATCAAAATTCCTTATTTTAAAAAATAAAAACACATCATTTATAGCACAAATTATTATAAAATCTATTTAATTTTTATTTGACAGAAAAATATTAAAGAGATGACATTGCTTATAAATGATGTGTTTTGAATGAAAATTATTAAACCAAATCACACTAAGTGGTATGTCAACTACTTGAAAATAATGAGTTCATTATATCTAATCTATAATAATTTTCGCTACACTGTTGATTTAAACTACTACATAAATAATACCACATAGTGTTCCCAAAGTATCAAATAACTACTTGTTGTGAACAATATAATAAATCATTAGCCAAAGAACATGTTAAGGAAAAAAAAGAATACATTTTATACAGGACAATAACCAAAAAACAAATTGCAAAACTGAGGGGGGCACGTGACCCCCCTCGGCCTATGCTGCCTCCGCCCCTGTTTATAGATATTAATTAGGAAAATTCTATTTTCATACACCTAGTTATCTCTGTACGCATTATTTCTCCATCCACACACTTATTAATTTGATTATAGATTATTATTCTCATTTCACACACTTAGAAGGTGCTTAGGATAATCTACATAAATATAATTTTTGACTTTTATACAAAAAAATATGTAAAAAAGTAAAAAAGCAATGTGACCTAAAAAAGATATTAAAAAATACACTTTTGTAAGAAATGCCAAATAGTACTTTAATGTTCCTTTTATACCCTAATCTAAACACATCTTGGCCATGGCTTCAAGTTTTCGGAGTCAGAGAGAGAGAGGTTGGAATCTCTCAGTTAAGCAACCATTGGTGATGGGCTAAGTACGTGGAATGATGATGAGGTTGTGTGTTTGTTTTGTTTTTGTTTAGCATAGAGTCAAAGCAAAGTGCGAATTGCTTCAACTAGAAAAAAAATATTTTATTTTGGGCCAATAAAATCAAAGTAAAATACGGACAAATATTCATCTGATGACAGACAAGATTCTGAGAAATTCTATTTGAATTTAAACTTTTATTAATTTATAACTCTTCCATCACAAAAATAATTGTAGGTTTTAATGAAAAAATTATATAAGTAATGGAATATAAACTTTAAAAATAAAATAATAGAGATTGAGAACACTGCTGCGCAGCAGTAACAACAGCGCAATAAAAACGGCACCGTTTTGACTTCTTGTGTTCTGGGTTAATGGCAGCCTAGTATTAAAAAAACATATTCTGCCAAAAAAATTACGACCTTGGACCTCTTCGAAAGACACCCAGTCTTAAACCACTATGTTACCAAACCTAATTTTCAACATCTGGTAAACATATACTAATCATTAACTTATTGAAATATCTTTGAAACAAGTATATTTGATTTTTATGTAAAAAAATCAATACATATGTCTATGTACCTAAGTTAAGAATAAATATTATGTATACCAATTATTTTAAGTGATGTTATCAATCAAAGTAATTATATGTTTACAAATCAAACTAGGTGAATGTTGTTTCATCTTACTTTAACATGAGTTGCTAGTTTTACCATTCCAAGACAAAGATCCCTATAACGTGCCGATATCACTAACTTGGGATCATTCTCATCCACTTCAACTTTCCCTCCCTTAATTTCACCACCCTTTGCATCTAATCTCCATTGACCTAATGTATACCTTGAGGAATTTCCATAACATTCACCACCCTTTGCATCTAATCTCCATCGACCTAATATATACCTCTCCATCGACCTAATATATACCTTTGAGGAATTTCCATAGCATTCATTATATTAAGTGTTTTAATTGCATGACCACATAATAAAATTTCAAAGTTCTTAAACTTTTGACAAGTGCAATGAATTCTTTGACAATTTTTGCCTTCTTCTAACTCATTATCTTTCACATTACCCTCCACAATATAATCTCTATCATCACCATACAACCTAATCACGTACCAAACTTCGATTGGTTGACTCATTACCAATGGATGCCACATCACCCGTTCGATCGATTGGTTGACTCATCACTGCCACGCGAAGCTGACTATATTCTATGCCACTGTCCGATGCAAATAGAAAAGCGCCCTCACTAAGTGCCATCAAACGCCACGCCCCGTGTATGGATGGTACGAAGCACCATCCTTGCTTCGGGCATCCATTCCACAATTCCATATTCAAAGAAATATTTCATGTGGCACTTTATTAAGTGCTCCACGTTTTGCTCTCTTTTCAATGTGGGACAAATTCTCCAAACTTATTTCAAGCTTTCCACAGAAAAACAAAAGAGGTTTTAAAAACACCCAAAAACTAAACTATAAATTTTAAAAATCATTTTGAAAATTCCCCAACACTTACTATAGATTATTCATTTTAAAATAAAACACCCACAAAGATGATAATTATTTACCAAAATTCATTAAAAAATTTAAAAAATTTAAAAAGGAAAAAAAAAAAAAAACCATCATTCCTTTGATTTTTTAATATGATCATTGCAGTTATGGTCAGATTTATTTTTCATACTGACTAATATTATTCCTAAAACATCAAATTCAAGACAGTTGAAATAGAGGATTAAAGTCATACAAATTATAGGTAGCAAAAAGGTCCTTTCCTTTTTGTGGCACTTAACTAGGCATGCTCACGAATTGAGTTAGGTCAGGTGATCTCTTATCCGTCATCCATCTAAACTTGGAAGGATTGAAAAAAATCAAATTATATCTATCCACTTGGTTAGCAAATGCAAATTAAACATGCCTTGCAGACGATTATGGATCTATTTGATGGTTTTCACAATTTTCATAAAAAGTGCAGATGCTGCGATTATCAAATCCACCCTGTTTTGTTTTTGGTTTTTGGGTTAAAACTGTTCAGAACTGCGGGTGAACCCAAGAAGCTTATTTATTGTTCTCGCAATAGCCTGAAAATCAAAAGGCAAAATGGGTTTCGAAGACTGTAGTGTGAATACCCATTTGAAAAATTCAAATTAAGTCCAGCACGAGAGTAAATAATTGGTAATGGGTGTGCTATGAAAATTTTATAAATAATGACATTTTCAGATCAGAACATCTCCATTTTGGAACCAAATAGTACACAATTGGTAGAGATCAGACGTTTACAAAATACATACTTAATGACAATTTCACATCTCTGTACCTGGTATAAGATAGGTTAAAACAGGCAAAAAAAAAAAAGAAGATTCACCTGAAAATAATGTTTACAATCAATGGTTATGCACAAAACATATTACTATGTAACGTGGAATTTCCACAGCCATTTTCACCGTGGCAGCGTGGCTCTTGATGCTCTCAATGTTTCAAGCCTCCTAATTGACTTTCACACATTTCTTACTTCAATCTCCCTCTTTTTCTTTCTTGGCTTTACATTTATTCATCTAAATAACTGCAATTAAAGAAGGCTCTGACCTGTTTGCAGGAACGAACTTGACTTCATGACCATAAAATACCTGAATGAACGTGCAGCTACTTACCCAACAATAGTTACGGGGTTACAATTGTTACGAAATGCAAGATCAAACTTCATTACCAATGCTGTGTCACAACACCGCACGTAGGGATCACAGGAGCTAGTAGGTTAGTTCCTCCACCACTGGGATTATTTCATATGTCTGCCAACCACATTCCATAGACATAAGAGGGTTGTGTTCGCAAAATGTTCAAATTAACAAACAAGTGAAACAACAAAGCAGCCATGTTCGGTGGGCAACAATGAAAAGCTGTCCCATCCCACAAATTTCACTTGCCCTGGACACAGGCTCACTTGCACCTCTATGAAAGTGCAATTATTTTGAATTATTCTCATTTAAATGCACATTTCCCAAAACTAAAACACAGCGCTGTACTCTGAAGTTGAAGCCATAGTCAAGAGCTTCAAAAATTGGATTTTGTGGGGAATATGAATTGAAAATATTGAACTAAAATGAAATGCCAGCTCTATTGCCGAAGCACCACAGGCTTTCCCCACAGCGACCGGTGCTTTTATCAATTGTACATTAAGAACTGGGTTATTGTGTATTCCTCTGGCAATAGCCATCCCCAAATCAAATGCATCCACAGACTCATGCAAACAAAAGGAAATTCAATTTACCATTCAAGCAGCAAGTACAAGAGCTTTAATTGTTCCTTGACTATTGGCAGCTAGCATTGTTGGACTGTCACTTTTCCAACATACAGCACTAATGAAATATGATCCTGCATCATCGTCAACATCATCCAAATCTGAAGAAGCAAACCTATGCCAAGCTGCAGGCCTAGAAATAGCCTGCAAGTGAACCCCAAAACTGAATTAGAATAAGAAAGATTAGATAATGAACATACCAACTTTATCAAGTATATAACAACCTTGTGATAGACAAAAACGTCATTTGTTTCACTGCCGCAAGCAATGTATTCGCTGTTTACCGTGAGACCGACAAAATTCTTCTCATTCGTGTGGCCTCTAAAAGTGCGCAGCTGAGAGATTTAAAAACAAGGAAAGGCAACCAAATTAATTGATTTGCAGTATAATAAAACTTTAGATCTATAAATCAAAGTGTTCTCCTCAATGCCACAGTCCAAATTGGAGCTAATGCAATCACATTTCATAATGGGAATGGGCAGTTGTAAATAATTTATAAATGTTCCATAGAAATTACATTGATTTGCCTTTTCTCAGACATATACATTCTAGCATTCTCATTCCAGCACTTAATAAACTTCAGCATATTCTTCCCTCAAAAACATATAGGAGGTGATCAGGAAGCTCTACTAACTTAGAAAAACTCTATTTCCAGTTCAATTGCCATCATATTTACAATAAATGGTCAACATCAAGAAAAAAAAATTGGCATGTTATTTTACAAAAGAAACTGAATTGTCATGGGCATTAAAACTTACGGGCAGATTTTCTTTAACATCCCATAATCGCAATGTGCTGTCAGTAGATGCAGAAGCAAGTTCATTGCTGGACAGGAATTTTACATATGAAACAGCTTTTCGATGTCCACTGAAAACATGCAGCGGTTGGCTAACATTTCTCAAGTCATAATAGTGAACGTGATGATCTGCAGAACCCACCTGCCAAGCATGCATCATAAACTCAAGTCATTGATTTTAACTCAATCATACTAGATCATAACTATGCTCACTACTGCCCAGAGAGAACAAAAATTGGGAGGGACGTACTGCAACATAAAAGCTAGATCCCGGATTATACTTGACAGAACATATATTTGCTTTCATGTCAATATCAAGAACACTTGCTTCCTGATTTGTGCACCAAATTTTGACCTGTTGGATATAAAGAGCACACAAATAGTGCAACTGATATAAGATATAAATACAAAATGGGAAGTTAGCCTGTTACTTTCCATGAGCTGTTAAAAGCACATACTAATTAATCAAACCTTTAGTTTTTGAATAGTGTCGAAATTCTCTATTTAATTATTATTTCTGAAAAAGGACCTATCGAGATACTGAAATATAAACAAATAAATAACAAACTCTCGCCACATAAATGGCACCAACTAAATTTTTATCTTTTACTCTGTCCCATTTTGTGTGGAACGATTGACCATGTACATATAAGCAAAGTTTCATTGGATAAGAGATCTAAAAAATGCTATTTTCCCTATTTGCATAACTTTTATGGGAATTGGGATTGTACTTAATTATATGTATATGGAAAAGTGATTATTAATCTTTTGAATTTTGAAACTTTGACACAAAATGGGACTGCCAAAAGCTATGGGGTCCAATTGGAAAGCCCCTCAGATTAAAACAACTGCATCATTGGAATTAGAACAGAGAAAACAATCTCCTGCAAAACTTTTAAATATTTTCAAAGCCCCTTAAATTCTTTTAAACAGATTTTATATGTTTATAAAATCTCCTTGCCAAAAGCTGTCATCTGATTTTATATTCAGTACTTCAGAAGTTTTCCAGATAGTTCTCTGTTCTACCTCAACTTTCAAGCATCTGTAACTACTATGTTTATAAAAAAATTCTTGTTTGGGTCGTAGATTAGGGTGCTGCTTGTCAAGTTGAAGAAAACTATGTTTTCTTGTGTTCCAAGTACCTTGCAGTCGTCACTCCCGGATACAAGCATTGAAGGTTCAGTGCGTGAAAAATCTACACTCCATGCTCGTTTTTCATGCTCCTCGTACTCCATCACACTCTGAAAAAGACAAGATTGGGCTAAAATAGGTCAAGAGTGTTGCATATCTCAGTGAGTACATCTCATACTAAGATCTGAAAGAAAATGAAAAATAGAGAACTCTAGAGAAGAGCAACAACCTGACGAGTAGTTACATCCCAAACAGTCACTATTCCCTCATAATCACTACTGGCTATATGGTTTTTCGTGCACTTACTCCAGCTTAAGCAACTAAGTTTAGAGCGTGTGGACATTTCCACAACAGGAAATTGCACATCTACTGATTCATTCACCAACTGCGAAGTAAGATAACAACAATTATTACCTTGTGATACTTGGAATAAAAATATTTTCCATATTTATCAACAAACTTCATTTTAAAAGATTTTAACTCGAAAAAGTTTTATATCATATATATATATATATATATTTAAGTGTATTTCTTTGGTGAACATTTGAAATTCAATGGCATTGGTCATTTAGCTCATTTGGCCAAAGCTCTTAAAATTTGTTAAACAAGACGTGTAAAAGGCCATATGAATGAGACTTGCATTTGGGAACTGCCAAACTTAGGGTAAATCATTATGAAAGGCAAGCATAAAAATGTGCTTTTAATGTCAAATAGACCACAAATCATTATAAAACTTGCAGCTCCAAAAGAACAAAAAACATTGAGAAAAAAATTAGATAAAAAATTCAATAAAGCCAGCTATGCCTCTAGGATCATTATAGAAAGGCTATGATGCCAGCAGAGACATTAGAAATGACGCTGCTTAAACCAGAATGTTTTCATACAGATTTGATTTAGTAAATGATGCGTCCCAAGTACTTGCCCAACCCATTTTTGCAAGTCAAGGTAACTTCACCAATAAAAAATAATGTTGCTTAAACAGAACTTTTTTGTTCAACACCTACCGATGAAAATTCAAAAACCTTGATGCGCCTTGAAACTCCAGCAGTAGCAAACAATTCATCATCTCGATCAAATTCTATACTGCAAAAAAAGAAGGAAATTAATTCACAATCAATCTGATAACCAAGGAAACATGTGTGTGTGTGTGTGTGTGTGAGAGAGAGAGAGAGAGAGGGGTCACATGATTGATGGATTTTAATTCAGATGCAAAATGTTATGTGTTTACTTCATAGGAATACAAATCCGAAAATTGAAGGAAGCTTAAATACTCTCGAAAATTTATAAACATATGTCTATATTGAGTAGGAACAAATAATTGCTGCCGTCAATTTCACTCTTCAAGGTATCCAGACAGCTAGAACAACACTAGAACAGCTTGTTTATCTAGGTCTTGCCATAAACATTTTTCATTTTTATTTTTATACCAAACATGATATTGTTATTGAAGCTGCAAGATACCCCATGGTTACCTTGGATTTAACATTCACAAAGAACCCAATGCAAGAAGACGGATCCATGTAGCCAACCCCAGTTACGTCTAAGTCTTCTTGATTTGAATTGAGTAATATCTTATTGAGGTATTTCCCCCCACAGGTTGGACTGAAAAACTATGAACTTCCTCATTTAGCAGGAATTCTTCGATCCCACAATCCTCTGAAACCATTTATCCAATTCATCCACTTAGTTTTACTAATACAATTTGAACTCCCCTTCCTTGTCTGAATAGCTAATTCAAAATATTGTAAATGGTTATTCTAATTTATCTCATTATCAAGTTTTATTATGCCCTCTATCTACCTATAGTTTTACTAAAGCTACACCACAATCATTCTTAGTCTTACTTAGCCTAAAACCCCTAAACTCTAAGGTATTTGTCCATACATTTAGTTTGAAATGAATTACCACAGATTCTAGCTTGGTCAGCTTACATCATGTTATTTCAAATAAAATATACTTTGGCACATTCTATCTATATGCCTAATAAATTATCCATAACTAATGATGAAATGATAAAGAACTAATACCAATGGTAGATTATGAGCCTATTGCTACTTGTCTTTCCTTCAATTGCTCTCACATGAATTACTAATACAAGATAGATGTCATTAATTACATTAACATATCTAGCCAATGTAAAATCGTAGTCACATCTTATGAATACAAAACTATTTAGGATCCACCAAGCAGAGTCTAGCATTAATGTCAGCCTAAGAGAAAGGTTTGCAATTTGTAGCTTATACATACATAACTAGGAAAATGGTTTGAATTCCAGTGACCATACACTCGAACAAAATATGGTATTTTATAATTTCAATAATCAATCAACGAATATAGTTTTAAGTAGTGGAAATCAACAGGTCTTTGATGACTGATCAGTCACTTGAGTACAAAGTTTGTGAGATAGGAGTTGTACTTGAACTGAATTATGTAATATACAATAATTTTTTTTTTTCTTGGATAAATATGTAATTTTACCAAAATTAACTCACCTTGATACAATATTGGCCGAGTGAAAAAGATCTCCATGCCTAAGTTCAGCAACGACCCTCAATCGGCTATTCATTAAATATATATATATATATATATATAGAGAAGAGAAGTATGCAAATTAGCATCAGCACACAGACAAACTTAAGAAATAGGAACAAAGCCAAGAAGCTTCCTGAAATAAAACCAACATTTATTGACCAAAAATGGAAAAATAAAAAACCTGTATCGTGTAAAGGTAGACAGCACAGACTGGAAATCCTCAAGTCCTGCATGATAACCTTCTCTATTCATGGCATTTGTGTCCCTTTCTTCCTGTTTGTACGACTGTCGGACCCAATGCCGTCGCCTTTGTAAGTAACACTCTTGTAAGTCATTGAACTGTTGAAAAATAAAATATTTAAGAACTATTTGAACCAACAAAATAAAAACAACAAAAATCAACACAAAACTACAGATCAATACACAATGTCTCAGGTTGGCCAGACAGCCTTAAGCTATTCACCATGTAGTGTTCCAACGCTTCAGCAGAAATCTACTGAAGACTGACACGCTAAAATTACCAACTGGGGAGATCAAGAGTAGCTAGCCAACAGTAGAAGACAGCCAGCACAAATAAGCACAATGAGGATCTAGACCCTCCACTGGTATGATCGTGGCTCCTAAACACATGGCCTATATTATTATCTTTTTGATAAGTACTTTTGGTGCAGAATACTACTCCCTCCATCCCAAAACAATGGTCCCTTTTGGAGAATTCAATTTTTTTTTTATAGTACAATTACCATAGTTTAAAAATATTAATTTTTCAAAATTATCCTTTGATAGTATATTTTTTGAGGAATATCAATTGTCATAATTGTACTTTCTATGTTATTACTGAATTTAAAAGGGCAAAAGAGTAAATTCATATTATTTTATTCCTTGATTTTTGAAAAGGGACTAATATTTTAGGACAATAAAAAATGGAATAAGGGACTAATATTTTGGGACGGATGGAGTATTAAGGATTCACAGAATGGCATCACCCAAATCTGCATGCAGACAGTGACCAGTAGGATGTTGCACTGTTGGTTGATGATCCCTTTAATCCCCACGAAGGAAAAAAATTAAAAAAATAAAATAAAATTGAACCATCTCATAAATTTCTACATGATTGTTTTTGAACAAATATATTTCTACATGATTGATAAGCATGAATAATATGATTAGCCCCAATTTAGAGGAATTTCACAAGAGTACTGACCTGTGCATGGACCCTCCTTTTCCGTGCTACTGCAAGCCCTGATTGAGTAACATGTGAATCTGGCCCACTGTAAGAATCCTTTCTTTGCACCATTTGAGAGCTTACAAGAGCCTTTCCATCAACTTTCCTGTTCTGTGAATTGCCTTCATTCATCCAGCATAGGCCCTGTGGACTGGGGGGGATACTAGAAAGGATGCCACATCTACGTCTATCCATCAATGATGGCCATGCTTTCGTTGCAGAAGGATCATCTAAAAGCATCCTCAGTTTTACTGAATATCTCTCTTTTGCCCGATATAAGTCTATTCTATGTCTCTCCACAGCGTTTATGTCCTCCTTAATGTACTGGAGATCAGTTTGTATCTACATAACAAGCAGGAGACCATCAAATTTGGCTTTAAATCTTTTTCCATTAGAATAGTTACCACTATCTTTGTTAACCCTGAGGCCATGATGCAGCCATCCAACAGCTAAATGACAAAGAGGCCATGTTGCCAAAACATGCCACTCAATGGGTCTCATTTTGGAGATATCTCATGAAAAGGCCAACTTACATTATGAACATTTTTATTTATGAACCCCAAATCACATATGTCTAGGCAGTAGACACTATAATCCACGTCACTTACAAAAATTAAAATAAATCAAAATAAATCAAAATCATGAGTACTCCAAGAATTTCTGCTAAACATATCTCTGCAAGAAAGGATGCCAAAAGAAGCAAACATGGGGTCCTTATTCTGCCATTATGTAACAAGTCTATACATAGGCTGGAATTTCTGCAAAATGATTGCAATGTTTTGGAGTTCATAAGCTTCTATGAAACTTGCTAATTTAGTTATTTTAACATCAAAGCGTTGTGCACAACAAACTCTTGTTTGACCATGGGACAGTCACTACTAATGTACCAACCAACATCAGCCTAACTTTCTTATACAAAAAACTTCTTTGTTTATATGTGGCTGTTGGTATTTTTTACCCCTCTTTTAGCTGCTGAATGATAATCCGTTATATGCAACTGCACATGATGGATGCTCACAGACAGCCAACTAGGTATGGTCTTTATACAAGGTAACCCACAAATGACTTTATAAGCAGGTACCCCTTCTAGAGAATGGTACCCCCTTCCACCCCATTATTGGCTATGTCTCCCTCTCTTGCTTGTTTATACAACAAAAAACATATATATGTATATATTTTCATCATTACAAGCTTGTACAGGAAAATATAAGAAAACCAGAAAGTGAGTCAAGTACAAGAACCTCATTGAGCTCTTCAAGCTTTTGCTTCCTTAGGCAATGCAAAAAGTCTAGGAGAATCTGCATATTTGTCTCAGCTTCTTCTTGTTCTATTTTTCTCTTTTTCTCTTCAAGCAGAGTCAAGAGACTGTCTAGCTCCTTAACTGACACATCACAACCCTGTCTAACAACCACAAAAAAAGTCACTTTCTAACAAATGAAAGCCGTCAAGCATGGATGGAAAGACAAAACGTGCATACATACACCATTACAGTTAGAGAAGTGAGTCAAGATGATTAATTCTACTTAGATCCCAACTGGAAAAGAGATGCCGTCCAGAGGCAACATTTATTGATATATGTGTCCTGCATAATCATTTATTGTTGTGAGTCATCTAGGTTCTACATGAAATGAATCACTTTACAGTGTTGCAAATGATTACAGTCAAAGTCCAGGGACATATCCAAGTGGGAAAGGAGGACGGTCCAGTTCGTGTGAAATAGGGAGATATCCCTAGCTCATCTGAAAGAGGATCAGTATGTGCTCCTTTGCCATGTTAAGTGTAAGAGGTTGCTCAGTGAGAGGAGGTGGAGGATGTGTTGAAGCCATCACAATAATAGTTCCCACAACAGGAACCATCTGAGGTGCATAAGCTTCATTTAAAATTGAGGCCAATGGAGGGGGCCAACAGGCTACTCTCCTGTTGTAGAGGCCTGCAAGTTATGCTGAGGAGAGGGTTTGACGTCTGAGCTAGTCAGAGCTGGTGCGACATTCTGGGATGATGAAGGAAGGAGGGAAGAATGGCTCCTCTTTGTGCTGCCACCAAAGAGTCAATAAGGAGCTATTAGTTCTGCTACAATACACTCTTAGGCAATAAGCGAAGTTACTTAGTGATGACTCCTCTTTGTGCTTCCAGCAGAGTCAACAAGGAGCTATTGGTTCTGCTGCAATACACTCTTAGGTAATAAGCGGAGTTACTTAGTGATGGACGGCCGCGAGGTTAGCTCTTCGTTTGAGGTATTGGTCAGACACTTCAATGGAGTATGTTGTAGGTATTAGGTATGTGTGGTGGTTGGTTCTGGACCTCTGGGAAGACGACCAACACTTCAATGGCCACAGATCATTGGAGGTAGCAAATGAGAGAACCAAGGAAGCCTTAGATTGAGAGAGGGTGACAGTCAGAGCCCTCAATCACCAGAGCTATGGAAGATGATAGCCAAATTTGTGATTGTGTTCTACATGCATTGATACTCCCTATTGAAACACCAAGACCGGTGGAGGCTGACTCACTAATGGACAGGTTGTCAACGCTCCTTGGTTTGACAAAGCGGAGGTATTAGGCCTATCATTGTGTCCTATGATTCAAACTTCGGAGGCTGTATCATGGAAGCTGCAGAGGTAGGTATGATGCATCAGAAGGTGTATCATAGCATGACATATGTGGTGGTAAGTATGATATCTCTCTTCAGGTGTCAAGTGTTGGGTCAATGTCCCTCTCTCCGAGACTGGTCAGGAGTAGTCTTCTCTTAGGAAGTAAGTTGAGCAACCTCAACAAGCCCATGATCTTAGCATCCAATCCACAATCCTCCAACAATCCCAAGCAATTGATGTCTAGGTCCTGCTCCCAGCCTAGGATGGCAAGTGATGGCCATGATAGTAGTAAGTAATGATCCCAACTAAACAAGTAAGTAATGATCCCAACTAAACAGGTAAGTGCACAAGGTAGACATAAGAATGTAAAACGAACTAAGCTACTCATGTTCAGCTTGTTAAAGATTTTGTTTGAGATCGACTCATTATGTAAACAAGTAAAGTTTAAACAGATTTTAAAACTCGTTAAGTCATCATACCAAGCTTGAACAATCTACCTGCTAGACACGACTCAATTATATGCATTATGAAAAATCAAGTTACTTAAGCTTGGCTAGTGATTGGATTGATTAAAATTTGTTCGAGATTGACTTGAAAATTAAAAAAACAAGCTTAAACACATTTTGAAACTTGTTAAGTTTTCAAGTCAAACTTGAACAACCTATGGCTCAGCTCGACTCGACTCAACCTTGAACAGCCGAGTAGGCTATGGTCGAGCAGGTAAGCTTGGCTCCACCACATAGTGTTGCAACTGATGCGTTCGGCTCTTCATACTTTGACTTGTTCACTTGCTGCTTTAGCTCTCGGACGGTGGATGCGGTAAGGCAACAAACGCGCTAGGAAGGCAAGCACGTTAATGGACTGAGCAACCATACTGAATGGTATATATGGCCCCACTTAGGCTAGGCATATAAGCCCAAATTTGTCTGCTCGAGATCATCATGGTGCCTCAAGAGGACTGCCACATGGAGATGATGATGCCGAGGTGGCACTGACGTGGCACCCATGGCGCTTGCCACATACTGAGAGTGCAGTATAGATACACCCACAATAGGATGGCTGGAATCCATTGACATTTTGTTAAAAATGATATCATAAGAGGTCTACAACAAAAGTTTAACTAAAACTATCAAATATGATATTAAAATACCTTAAACGAAAATAAAGATACAACAAATGCCAAGAAATCCCAAATCCTTATAGGAAGCCTAAAAAATGCCTCCAAAAGTATTTTGAATTATAGATATGTTGTAATAGTGAAGCAATAGCTAAAACATATACATTATACATATGTAGACACAAGTTATTTAAATATAAGCCTAGCACTGTGATGACAACATATCTTCGAAAGATATGTCACAAGCCACCTCAGGCAAGCCAAGTGATGCGCTGCAGACATCATGTTAGCCCCAACACACTTCAGCACATTAACATGCACTCGTTGAAGTACTAAGCAATCTAGCACTTCACCTGTAACTTATAAACAAACAGTTTAAGCACCAAGTCCAGTCATTTTAGGTAAAAAATAATTCAACGTACAAATAAATTTATCTACATTATCACACAACACATTATAGCATAAAATGTAAGTTGTCCCATGGAGTACACCACATATTGCAAAAAAAATGTCATTACATATACAAAGCAGTGCAATACAAAAAGTACTTCAAAATTTTGTATTGAACAGTAATATAATCAAAGGCATTTCTTTCAAAATATTCCTAAATTTAACAACTGACCTGTTGCAATGCATGATGAAGTTGTTTAAAAGGACTAGCAGTTTTTGCTATTTGACGAGCAGAAGTCTCCTTCAATAACTACAAAATTTGACAAAATGTTCACAATAAGCTTAGTATCATGGCAGATAATTGCAAGATATGCTAAAAATTTAAAGAAACACCCTAACGTATACAGTTCCACTACTTCATAATTACATTTTTTAGCAATTTTACATCTTCAGAGTTGAATTCAGATATTGCATCATCGCATGTCAGTTTGAACTCCTAAGGATGAAACACAAATATGATGCAATATGGATGCACTAACACCACATTTTTCAAAAAAGTTAGGAGATGCACACCAGAGACACACATAAATAATTATATACTTTTATATATATGTGTGGATAATAATAATTTCTTCATTTTTACATTACAAGTGTGTTTACAACTTCAAATATTAAAATAATAAGAAATCATTTTTCACATTCTATAAATTGAAAATTTCTTAATACCTCTTTTAGAAAGTCTAATCATAAACAAATTGGAACTTTTAGGCATTAAACTTCAGATATGCTTCAATGTCCGCCTAAGCTATGAACATATATATTGTCTAGTTGTCCAAACCAAACCAACCTAGAGCCTTATGTCTGAAGGGTGTCTAGTTCTTACAAAATTTAAAATCTAATAGGATGTGTATTAGGAAGTGTGTCAATGTCAAACACGGACATGGCATCCTGTTAGAAGTATGCAAACTCACAAAATTGAAGAGAAAGAGGATGTAATGAATTCCAAACAGAGCGGCAGAGGTATCACAAGTTTAACCAATCATTTTTTGATACAAAGAAACTTAAAGAGTTTTGAGCTCTTCTACTTTTTCCAACTGGTTTTGTGTCAGGTGGCGAAACTTCTTGCAAGGCATAGCTTTGCCAATGCGTGTTTTCCCACGTGTGATCAGGCCGGAGTGATGCATCTAAGCAACAAAACAAGAAAGTTGGTGAACCAAAAAGGGCATGAACAATGCACCCTATGCTAAGTAAGGGTTGAGAAGGTGCCCCTTCTGCCAAGTTGGAGTTAAACAAAGAGATGAGTTTGCATCTCTTCATGCATGTATGTGTCTGTCTCAGAAAGAGAAATGCTTTGTTTTAAGTTGCAACTATGAGGCATAGAGATAACTTTTGTCTCTTTTTGTGAATGCAAACAGTTGCGATAATTAACAAAAGGATAATATACTTGTTCATATTTCCCTAATCAAGGCGCTTAATTAACTTCATCTAATGTGCCTTGCATTTTTATATGTTATGCGCAAAACTTAATCGGGATTAGTGGCAATTAAACATGAATAGTAGACCTAATCGTGATTAATTAAACCTAATCATAATTACCTAGGTTAAGTGTGATGTCCTAAACTTGATTAATTAGTGTTAACCTACCTTAATTAGTGTTAATATCAAGTAATTAAGTTAATATTATAATTAGTGTGCCACCCCATACTTGTGTAGATATACATATACATATACATATATATATATACTAGTCAAATAGGCACAGGCTACTTGCACATTTTTTTTTTTTTAATTTTGATTTCACTTTTTGACTTTAAGGTAGTTTTTAATTTTGATTTCACTTTTTGACTTTAAGGTAGTATTGTTTTAATGGGAAAAATGTAATGGAATGCTGATCTTTTGAAGGTTAAAACAGTGTTGTCAAAGGCGCGCCTAGGCGCGCTATGAATGATTAGTCTATATTAATTTTTCTATTTTTTACGAATACTGTGCGCCTTACTTCAATAAAGCCCGCGCCTCGCCTTGCGCCTTGCGCCTAGGCTCCAAGAGACCTTAGGCGCCTTAGTGCGCCTTGAGCCTTTAAAAACACTGGGTTAAAAAATAATAACATCATTCCATTTCACTAAATTTAATGGCATTTGGCCTTTGTTCCAATTAATTAAATATTACTGGAGATTATTACTCCAAAATAAGATTTTTCTTTTAGGAATTGAATGGAGTAGAAGATTAAAAAAATCAAACAGCTCATATTGTAAGGTTTATCAAGCATATCATTCATAAAAAAACAAAACCAAAAAACAAACTAATCAGATAGTGTAACCTCATTGAATTGTTCAAAGTTGAACTTCATGCTATTTTTTAATAATAAGAAGCCTTTTGGGATGTGTATCATATGTAATAATTATGATGTTTGTGGTCATTTTGGCATGTGTACCATATGCCCCAATTATGATGTTTGTGATTTTTGGTGATGACCTATTGATTTGATTAAGACTCATTGTGATGTTAGTTATAACTCATAAATAATTCATCAATAATATTATAATGATCATATTTGTATATTATAATTTAATTATCATATCTTGTATCATAATTTTCTTCTTTTTTTTTTGGGATAAATAATCAAACTTTATTAGAAAAGTATCAAGGCGATACAAAGAATTTAGCACCCTTCTAGGGCCCAAACATAACTAGCTAATCAAGGCATCCACAAAATCTACAAAAGCCAGAATATCAAGGTCAATCAATACCGTGACCCAAACCAAAAGTCGCAACAATCAACATCCAAAGCTGAGACACAACCGGGCAATAAATAAGCAAATGATCGGCTTCTCCACATCTCCATAATACAAACAGCACCAATTCACCAAAACATGCCGATGACGCGCTGAATTATCAATAGTCAAAATACGACCTAAAACTGCCGTCCAAACGAAGAAAGAAACCTTAGATGGTACCCCTGGCACCTAAATATTCTTCCAAAGGGAAAACACCAACATCAACAACAACAACCGCACAACAGAACAAAGACACCGAGAAAACCCCTTTAGATCTTGGACAATCCCACACCAAAAAATCCACTACAACCCCCCCCCTCTCGGGGCGGGGATTGTGCACCATACAGAAAATTGCGGCACAAATGAACATTCTAAACAAACAATTATCCTACCTAACCCTAACAAAAGACACCAATTCCTCACAATCAACTGCGATAGCATATATCAAAGGAAACATCCTTGCCAAAGACAAACCATCATACCACTTTCCTGCCAAAAGCGAACCCTATCCCCTACCCCCACTTTCAGCCGAACCCTGCCCCAAAACTCCTCCCGACCCAGCCAACATGAGATTGGCACACCCCATTCGTAGACCCCGTCTCCCAACCCATACTTGGCCATCCCCACCTTCTTCCACAAATCGCCACAATCATTTCCTCAAAAGAGCCCGATTGAACACAACCAACTTTCTAATTCCCAAATCCCCTTTCCTTAGGAGTATAAACCCTCTCCCAAGCCACCAAATGACAATAATAAGCCCTCCCTTCCACTCCACAGAAAGTCCTGTTGCAACTTCTACAACCGCTTTGCAACTGCCACAAGGATCACATGCATCGACATAAAGTAAGTCAGAATACTCGACAGGACACTCTTGATCAACGTGATTTGTCCCCCTTTGAACAGATACTGTCGCTTCCACCCTGTCAGCCGCCATTGCACTCGATCCACCACCCCATCCCACACCCCCTTTGCTTTAAAAGTAGCCCCTCAAACGAAGACCCGCATAGTAAACAAGCAGTGTAGCCACTTTACACCCTAGAATAGCTGCCAAAACCAGAAGGCAAGCCACCACCCCCACTGGAATCAATTCCAACGCTGCCAAATTCACACAGAGCCTTGACACAGCCTCAAAACACAATAGCACACAACCATCAGCATCACAAAATATGAGCGCATCATCAGCATAAAAAAGATGATTAACTCCCAAAGTGGCAAGGCTCGTCCCCACCTAAAAATAGGGCACCAAATCCCTTTGGACCGCTCTAAATAACAAACGACTCAAAGCCTCCATCACCAAAATAAATAATAGAGAAGACAGATGATCACCCTGACGTAAACCCCTCCACGTAAGGGAAAAGCCCGCCAGTGTCCCATTAACTAAAACTGACATCCACATAGTAGAGATACAAAACTGAACCCACCGCCTCCATCTATCCCCAAAACCCATCCGCTGAAGCACATACAGCAAAACTGCCAATTCACATTGTCATATGCCTTCTCAATATTCAACTTACAAATAATCCCCTCATTTCCTTGCCGAAGCCACGAGTCCACACACTCATTAGCCACAAGCACAGCATCCAAAATCTGACAGCCACTCAGGAAAGCGTTCTGAGATTCTGACACCACCTCCTATAGAACAACCCGAAGCCTATTAGCTAAACCTTGGCCAACAATTTGTCGACACTACCCAAGAGACTGATCAGTCTAAAATCCCGAATGTCCTTCCCCCCCCCTTCTTTGGGATCAACGCTATAAAGGTCACATTGAGACTCTTCTCAAACTACCCCGTCTGATGAAAATGCTTAACCATGGCCATCATCTCCTCCTTCACTACCCCTTCCCCCCCCCCCCCAAATACTGCTGGGAAAACGCAATAGAAAAACCATCAGGCCCTGGAGACTTATACCCAAACATACTCCTCAACACTTCCAGAACCTCCTCTGAAAACAACCTTTCCAACGTCAAACTATTCACCTCTGGAATAACATAAAATGACACCCCATCAAGACCCGACCTCATACATCCCCCTTATCCCAAAATAGGTGTTGCTGATAGAAATCCACAATGCCAGCCTTGATGTCCTCCTCCGACAATAAGACCACCCCATTTACCCTTATCCCCCCTATCTGATTCGCCCGCCGATGGGCATTTGCCATTCGATGGAAAAACTTCATATTTCGACCCCATCTTTTAACCACAAACATCTGGATTTTCGACGAAAGCTGATCTCCTCCATCCGAGCAACCCACACAAACTCCTTCCTAGCCCCATCCCGCCTACAGCCAAATGCTCTTCAGACAGGCCCCCTCCAACCTCTTTCACATCCAACCCCTGCAGCACTGCCAAAATGTTCGCATTTTGAACCTCTAAAGAATCAAACAGCTCCATATTCCACCATTTAAGACTACCTTAAGGAGTTTCAACTTCTGAGGCAAACGACAACTAGGCATCCCCACCACACTGTAACTCCTCCACCCACCACTTCTCCACAAAACCCTTTGATTGTAACCACATATTCTCAAAACAAAACGAT